ACAGTCTTTTGACCTATTCTTTGGGGACCTATTAAAGATCCATTTGATCAAACGGTATCAGCTGAAAAAGCTATCTACTTTGCCCGGCTATCCGATTTATCCGGACCCCAAACCTGACCCTTTCCGACCCTTCCGACACAACACTATCGCAGTCATCACAGCTCTGTTTCTGGGCGGGTTGTGTGTTCTTAGTGCCCTCTGCTCACTCCCTCACTCAATATAAAAAGTTAATAATAAAACTAAGTATCTTATTAAATAGAAAAACTACCCAGAGAGTAATAACTAGTAAGAACCCGCGAAAAATATCACCTATATATAATACCTTCTAAAGAATTTCTATTAATAATATTAAAAGAAGAAATAGAACTAAAAAAAACTCTAAAAATAGAAAGCTAGTTAATTATATTTACAGCCCCTAATAACTAAACCTCCCTAATAGCCTATTACTTAGTAAGTAATACCTCCTTCTAGGAATATACCCTATTAACTTTATCTACCTTATATAAGTTCTATAAAAATAGTACTAAATCCCGCTTATAAAAGAAATAATACTGAGTATATAGACAGGCCAGTCTAGCTAGTATTTCAGCTAATAGACTCTCTACCTGCTTAATATCTACCTTAAGCCTCTATTAGGCCTCTAAGTTCTGGGATACTTAGAAAAATATTAGTAAAACCCCCGGTAGAAAAGGCATATAATTTACAAAAAGAAGTAATATTTAATTTATTATATAAATGCCTATAACAAATATATTTACTATAATAAAATAACTTCTCAAATACCTAATAAATCTTGTAGTTATTAAAATAATAGGAATAGGATATAATAACTTTATGGCCCTTCTAATTAATAATATACATAAAAAGAGAATGCTATAAAGCTTTAGCAGATTTTTAGATGCACCCTAATATAATAATTAGTATATAGAAATAATTAAAAAAGTAAGTTAGACCTATAAAATATAATAAGAATATAAAGACCTATAATATAACCTTAGAATAAGACTAATAGAGAAGAAGATATTATATTACAGCCCGGGTTGAAATTAGGTAGTCTTAAGTAGTAGAACTATAATACCCTACTTTTATTCTTTCCCAATTAATAAAAAATTACTCGAATTACTCCTGTAATCTAGCGATCCCCAATATAAGGATTAATTAAGTAAAAAATCACTTAAATTACTATTATAATTCTTATAATTTAGAGTAATAGCTTACTAGGATTACTACTATAATTCCTATAATTTACTATAGTATATAGATACTCTTTTAGTACTTTTATAGATAGATAGCCTTATTAGCTATTAATATACTTAATTATATTAAATTTACTATTTTACTATTACTAGACTGTAATCTATATTGCTTACTATAACATCCTAATCTACTCAATTATATACTATATACCTCAGCCCTACTTTATACCTATAGGTTAGACCCAACTATTATACTTATTTTAATTTTGCTGGTTTTTACTTATATTCTTTAAGCTATATTATAAATCTTAGTTAGACTCCAGTTTCTAAAATATCTTATCTACTTTATTTTCTTTATTTAAATTAAATTATAGTTAATATCCTTCTATCTATTACTATATTTATTTCTTTTAGTATTCTTCTTTAGTAGCTTAGCCTTACTATTAATAATTATTCTATTTATAATATTATTTATTACTGCAGATTCTAATATTATTATATTATTACTATTATTATAAGCTTTAATAATTTAGTATCTTATATATTATATTAGTATTTATATTTATAATTATATAATGCTGTATTTTAATCTATTAAAGCTATATTATAACTCTGTCTAGTAATAGGTAATATTTTTCTGTAATTGTATTATATAGCAGTAGATATTGCAGCTGAACCTGCTATATATATTAAGAATCGGAATCAGTTTGCTTCAGTCAGCTGGCAGTTTAACTGTAGCTGGATTGTTCAGTGAGTCTATATCGATGTAGCGTGCTAGCACAGCTTAGGACTAAAATAGTCCGGCTTAACTATTATCTATATTAGATTCAAGCTACACCGAGAGATAAGTGCTATCTGATAGGCAAAAGAAATAGTAGAGTATTTTCTATTTCGCTATATAAATTAGATAATATATTGCAAAGAGATACTTTGTTATACAGATATAAAACGCAGTAACCTCTCCTTCTATCTAGGAGGAAAGGCAACATTAGATAAATAGAAGTAGATATTAAATATAGATGCTATATAAGCTACAGTTAAATTCGCAATTGCTATAGGTCGAATTAATAGAGATGATCTAAACTCCGCTAACCTATTAATCTTAACTATAACCCCCCCCCCCTACAATCTAATTCAGGTACTGCTTCAGCCGCCGAAAATAGGAAACTGAATACTTAGAGGAATTGGGCTTCAAGTTAACTTGCTACTGACCTTGATGAAGACTAAGAAGAAGAGCGATGACTAGACTAAAAGAACAAGGCAAGATCCACAAGGGCTTGGCAAGACTAAGGCAAGAACTAGAGTTATATATATATTTTTAACTTCAGAGCCCTTTAGATACGGCTTACCAGGTGTAATAGACTTGTGTGTGAGTGTGTGTGTGTGTGCGAACGTACTTTTTCTGCCAGTGTTATGAGCCACTAGACTCCGCTGTGCTTCCAAGCCAAGATCCATCTTCTCTGTCCCTCGGCGAACATGCAAACCTGACGCCTTCGAGTTTCTTTCGACTTATCTTGACGTTATTCAATCGCCAGTCACTACCATAACTCGTAGCCTATATGGAAATTCTCAAATCCCCGCCCACACAACTATTCTATCTTGGATGGCCCGCCAACAATAACTTCCGGCGAAGGCTCACGACTGATCACATCTGATTTCTTGCTCTATGCACTAGGACTGGCCCCTTGAACTCTCATGAGCAGTGACGTTTGCGCCTCGCTTTCAGGGTGCCCCAGCCGGCGAAAGATCTCGGCCTTGACAGCCATGGATACAAAATGAAGGATACTGGGGGCCATTAGCCTTGTCCAAACTTGATCGCGAATCAGTCTCACCAAAATAGGATCCCAATCACCCATATCCCATTTGAGCTCTTGCACATTGTCGATTTGGTGCGGTCCCAGGAGCATTCACGCAATTCAGTCCTACCCAGCATCGGGACATAAGATGCTTGAATGACAACAGTCGCCAGCCATCCTCCAAAGAAGACGAGCTGAATCGGAAAGAACTTGACAAGTAAAGTCTTCTTTGCTCCCCTCGCAGTTTCGTGAGTGAAGTTCCGGTATAGATCCGTAATGACCTTGGGATGTCCGAGGTTACGGGTCACGTCAGTGCACAAGCCAAGAAACGACTATAGAAGGCAAGTCAGAATCCTACTAACGTCAACTCGAGCATCAAGAGAAAAAGACATACGAGAGCAATTTGCGTCCCTCCCACCGCATATCCCTTTGGCGGGTATGTGATATAGGGCGCCATCTTCCTTATAGGCGTGATGGAAAGAAGCGAGACGATAAAGGCAACGAAGCCTAGGATACAGGTCAAAAAGCCGATCCAAGCGACCGCTACAGTAGGGCCCCTCAAAGATTCCGGCATAGTTGCTGTGGGCGTTTCATCATCGCTTCGATATTCGGGGTCCATTGTGTATTTCTTTCAAGGGTCATGCTGGGGGTGCGTTGATGTTGAGTTTGAGAACCAAGTTTAGAGCAGGTGCAGCATTCAATGGCGAGGAATACTCTCTTTTAATAAGGGGCTCACTCCCTGGCTGTAATTTGGCTAATATGGGCTCAAATGAGGAGGGAGCTTCTCCTCTGGCTAACAAAGGCTGTCTTCCCAGGGTTTCGAAGTGAGTGATTCGCCTTGTCCATCCGGGCAGCTGGCTGCGGCAAGGCAGATTTAGCCCAGCTTTCAAGGCTCAATCAGTGAAAGATGTCAAGCCCAGATCCTAGGGCTTTCAGTAGTCGACTGCAGCCTCTCTGCATTTTACATACTGGATTGCTCCCAGACTTACTTGCCTAGCATGGCACGTGTCTTGACAACAAGCTTCCTAGCTGGGCAGGGGTCCATTAAACCTAGTTAGTCACTTCCTTAATACGGGTAGTGTGCCCCCCTTTTCATTTCTCCTTAATACTGTTTGTCTGTCAAGTCGTCGGCCCACTCACCCACACCGCTCGCTTACTGCGGGAGTTAGGGGTAAGAGCTGAAGCTGATTGCCAGAGTTCAAGCCCGCACAGTCGGCGAATACGCCAAGGCAGAATTCCTCTTCATAGCGCTTCTAGAATCTTTTGCCTTTTGCCCTTGGCCCATCACGCCTTGGCTTCCATAGCGTGTTACATTAGCTCTCTCGCTTGCCGACCAGGACGGCCACGGATTATTAACCCAAAGTCTCTGGTCTGCAGGCATCCTCACGGACTAAGCTTGGACGTAAAGAGGAGGCTATTTCCGCAGGCCTCCTCGCAGGCTGAGACCGGGCAACAAAGTGGAGCCACCGTTCATCATGTCGACCTTCTCTTTCTAGCTAGGCATCCGGTCTCAATAAACTCAGAGGGGTTTCAACTATCGCAGACCCCGTAGCTCCAGCATTCCCCCAAAACCCAGGATTTCAGGATCCCCAGGATCCCATAATATCAGACGATCTCCTATCCAGTATGGAGTATAAAGGATCGGAGTCTCCCCGTGCTGGGCGTTGAAATTCAAGCGATTATCTTTGCCCCCATCTTCCTCGAAGCCTCATAGTCTACCACATTCATCAGCTCCCTCCACAAGGTGTCTTGTGGCCAACCGCGAAGTATGGCGGATGCCGAAGAAGCGCAACACGTCGAACAGGGTGGACTTCCAGTGGATGTGAAGGCCACTGGCGTGCACCAGGGACGCATCCAGTTGCTCGCCGAGTCCGGTGACATGATTCTGCCGGAGCACAGCAAAAAACAGCGAACGCCGCTGCACATCGATATGGACGCGATACGCCGGGCTGCAAAGGAGCTGCACGGGGACTCTAGCCCCAAGAGCTTCCTGGAACAGAACCCCACCTTACAGAAGTTGCTGGAACACACGCACGACAGTTATCCGGATTTCATCGCCGCGCTGAATCGCAGCGGCGTGCCCGACTATGCTCCGTGGATGCTGGAGCTGTGCCGAAGAGCGCTCGGCGACACCTGCAGCACCCGGACAATTGTAGGTGAGCAGGAACTGCGAGAGCCGTTCTTCCACCATGGCGACCTCATCGTGCAAGGTTGTCTCCAGGTGCTGTGCCCCTTTGTGGTCACCGGTTCTCTGACAGTCGACGGCTGTATGGCGGACGCAGGGCCTGTCTTAAATGTGGCGTGGGCGGGGACCTGAACGCTCACGCGGTGCATACCGACGGCGAGATGTATGTCAAAGGAGATATCGAGGCGGAGGCCGTCTACGGCTACTACAACGACCACACCCTCCGGGCGAGCACTATCTGCGCCCGCCTGGTTATCGAGGACGAGCACTATACAGAGGCGGACGTGGAAGCAGATGTCCATTTCGACCTAGACACCTACCAGCAGGGCTACGGCGAAGGTGTCCAGGAGCAGCTGCGCGAGGTCCTGGTGGACGAGGTGTTTACTTAAGACGATGACGAAGCACGGCTGGACCACCAGGCGCTCTACTCCCACCTGTGGGAAGGCAAGTCCGTGTTCCGTCCGGTAGACTGACGACACTGGTGTTGAGATCCGTTGTTTGACGGATCAATGGCTATTCCGATCCATTGGTGGCTGGGATGTGGATGTCTTCTTGTCAATAGCTTCCGCTGGTTAGCGCTAGTTTTCTTCTTCTTCAATCAATACAACATGCTCATTTCAACAATCCCCTGGTTTCAACAATCCCCTGGTGCGCAGCGCACCTAAACGAGCCCGGCATTGTGCGCGAGACCACGTCGTCGCGATTCGTCAAGGCCAACGGCGAAGCCTCCTCTTCTCCACGACGCTCAACACACCCCAGACCATCACTGCCCTTTTGATGCTGTACAAACTGCCCACGCCCCAGCACCGGCAGCAACAGTCGCCGTCGCTGACATCGTCATCGCTGGTCATCAACCAAGTTAAGTTCCTTATTTCCCTCGGGCCGGCCGTCGGTGGATACCCCGGCGTGTGCCATGGCAGCATTGTGGCAACCATCCTCGACGAGGTCACCTCGATGCTCTTCCCCATTAACAAGGCGCATGGGGCCATCTCTGAGAGCGTAGCTATGACGGGGCACCTAAATACGAGGTTCCTCAGGCCGGTTAAGGTTCTGGCGAGCTACCTGCCCTAGGCGTGGGTGAATAAGGTTGAGGGGCGCAAGTATTTCTTGTAGGGGACGATTGAGGATGGGGACGGGATGGTTATAGTAAGAGCGGAGACGTTATATATTATTTTGAAAGAAATATTATAATTTATAATGAAAGGGAAGAGAGGTATGATATATGTGTGTACCTGGCTGTAATTAGGTGAGAAGCTTATGAGTATGGCGATGCTTGGATAGAAGGAGCTATAACTATTAATGATGTTTTAAGCAGTTCTGAGGGCGTTCTCGCCTTATTAGCTGCAATTCTCCTTTTTGGCAACTGGGGTAGGCCCTGCCTAGTGTCTGGGGTTTTTTGAGATAGGCGCTGGAGGAGTTCTTAGGTGAGTTTGGAATTTTTAATATAACTAATAGTATTTTAATTTATTTATAAGAAAGAGAAGGGTGTTATTAGGAGAATGGCTAGACTTAAATACTTTTAGTAGTGAAGCTTAAGCTTGAGGAGAGACTTGCCAGATACGTCAGAGGTGCAAGCTGCACAAAGAAGTCTGTTACGTTTATCAACTGTTGAGACTGCGGCCCGGTCTCAAAGGCCCGGATCTCTAGCAAACCGGCCTCAAAGACCCGGATACTTTAGATCCGGTCTTAAAAGAACCTTATTGTAGACCCTATGATGACGGGGGCGTCTCTGTATAAAAAGGCCGCTGCGAGTCCTCTGTTAAAGAGGGGGGGCGGGGGAAGTACATATAACATTCACTCTAATATTTGACACATATCACCATCGGCCTCGACTTATTCTAGTACCTCGTAGCAAAGTAAAACCTTTTCACACGGCACATACTAATCTCGTTAAACTTGAACTCTTTTTTTTGTCTATCGACCTGGGGCCCTTGTAGCGTTGTTCTTTCTACCATCCCAGTTATATGCATTTCTCACACTGTAATTCCTCCTCTATTTCCACCGTCACATAGTCATCCCTCTCCTTGATCCCGATATCGTAACACTATCTAAGAAAGGTACTGGTCTAAGAAGCTCTCGAGGTAGTCCCTCTTACCCACTGGCACACCCTCCTTTCGCAGAATAGCATACGCCATCGAAAGGTGGAAGAACGCAACGGGTAGCGCATACCCATTAACGTAGTTGCGGCTCTGCATCTCAGCCGTCTTGTCTTCTCCGATTCCCACCTGCACAATCTCCTCCGCACGCTTGTTGATAAGCTCCTTGTCAGCCTTGTTGACAATCTCGAGCGCCTGCTCAATGCGGGCCTGCATGGCCTCGAAGGTCTCGAGGTCGGGTTCCTGAGAGAGAGGCTCCATGCCTGAGGTGCGGGCGACAACCTTCTGGGCTATGTCGGTCACCATGAAGACCTGGAAGCTGAGGGGGTACATGTCCTCGTAGAGGCGGGCGGAAGCTAGGGTGGCGGGGTTGGGGTGCTCGGCGGCCTTCTTGAGGATAGCCGTGAGGGACTTTAGGGCGTCCCGAGCCAGGATGATAGAGGAGTCATAGAGGGTGTAGCTCATGGTTGCGGTGTTAGAGTGGGCGTGATTGTGGGGTTAGGAGTAGCTCAGTGGGAGAGAGATAGCGTTGATGATCATGAATTGAGTCTAGTGAATTGTGTGATGAGTCCAGAGTGAAATAAGTTGCCAAAGAGGCAAATCCCTTGAATATATATACGTAGATGCGACTCACAATGAGGACGGGCTATTGATCTCCCCGACTTACTCGATTAATATCGTCGCGCCCTTCAGTCAACAGCTTACAAATACGCTTGCATTGCGCTACATGGCACGACTGACAAGCCAGAGAGGATTCGTTGAATCCATTTAGCTGCTGTGTATTGCAGTTCGAGAGTTGCACGGACATGTTTATCCTAGAAGATAGTTTCTATAGCTTGCTCGCTGCCCCTTGGCATTAAGCTAAAGGAACCACCATCTAGTTAAGCGAGCGGGTTATCTGATGCGATATGTTCTCACGATTGTCCTTGATTAAAGTTTGAGGCTTGCGCTAGTTATTTACATGTCGGACCGACAAAACTGCAGCTAAGCCCACACGAGTTAAGGATGACGTTCTTGGTCAACTAGCCGAACCAACTTTGAGAAATATCAGGGGAAATGTCCTACTATTTATAGTCAACTGACCTTTTTCCTCCAAAGAGGCCCCGCCGCCCAATTAACATCCGTTTCCCTTCTCTTTCGTCTAAAAAGGAAATATATTATAAATGCGCCGACCCCGGCCCTGCTAAAAGACTGCTATTCGGCTTGCCCCTTTCTTTTTCATCAAAAAAGCCCCTTAATTTTATTCTTTACCGGTATTATAACTATAAACTATATATAGGTTACCTACTATATTACTAGGGGAAATAAAAACTATATATAGAATAACTATAACTACTACTACTATTATTACTTCTATATAGTATAGTATATTATTAGGTAGATATATATTTTATTTTATTATCTACTATTATTTATTAATATATATTAATATTATATCTCTATTTATACTTTAGCCTACTTAAGTATAGCAGCTACTGCCAATATATCTATTAACTCCGCTACCTATAAGCCCTACCTATACGCCGCTTAAGAACAGCCCACCTAGAAGATAGCTAGCTACATCTATATCTATATAAAGATATAACAATATATTACTTATATAGAAGACAGCTAAGAACCGTCACTTACAAGCTAGAGCCGACTGGATGTAGCGGGAGAGCTAAGAGTACTTATATGCTGAAGATAACAAGATAACGCCTTAGCTAAAGTATATAAGATAGCCAGAGCTATTTCAAAACCGACCACTCAATATTATCACAGCCTCCGCGAGGCAGCCCGCTCGAGGCCCTAACAGAAACAACGAGGACTATCTACTCAGGGCCTGGCAAGATATACCGCTTCAAAGCCCCGTAGCAGTAGAGGTATAGCTGTGTATCTTAATATATGCCGTCGACGACATCTTCAATTAAGCTGAGGCTACTCTAGCGTTTATATCCTACTAGTTACGCTGTTAATTTATAAGCTACTGGATAGGTATATTTTATAATTACTTACTTTATATTATACTATAGCAAACTAAGGAGAGCTATAAATTAAAGTAAAAGTACTTTATCTGCTATATCTTCTAGATTATTATACTAAAATTGCAGTAATACTAGTAGATATATAATATACTATTATATATAAATAATATTGAGTCGGAGCTTTCCAGTCTTTGGGGATAAAGGTCATTTAATCGGATGCTTGCAGCCACTAGGGCTAGGATTGGTGGGTTCCTTCAACAGGAAATGCTGCATCGGGTAGGACCGGTAGCCAGACCTACTGGGGCCATAAATTGGGAAGGTCTCGGACAGGACCTTCCAGACACCAACAACACAAGCATCATCCTTCTAGCATCTCATCTTTCTTAATTGACAGTCTTTTAACCTATTCTTTGGGGACCTATTGAAGGTCCATTTGATCAAACGGTATCAGCTGGAAACGCTATTTATTTTGCCCAGCTGTCTGATTTATCCGGACCCCAAACCTAACCCTTTCCGACCCTTCCGACACAACACTATCGCAGTCATCACAGCTCTGTTTCTGGGCGGGTTGTGTGTTCTTAGTGTCCTCTGCTCACTTCCTCACTTAATATTAAGATAATATATTATAGCTTATAGAAAGAAGAAAGAATAGTAATAATAAGAGTAATAATAAGAGTAATAATAAGAGTAATAATAAGAGTAATAATAAGAGTAATAATAAGAGTAATAATAAGAGTAATAATAAGAGTAATAATAATAAGAAAAAAAAGAATGAAAATAATAAAAATACTAATAGTAATAATAATAAAAACTACTTATAAAATAAAAATAAATAAAAAGATAATAAAAAGAATTATAACTTAGCTTAGTTTACTTTTTATTCTTATAAAAATACTTAGCTTAAGCTATTTAAAATACTCTTTTAGCTCTTAATAATATTTTAAATATATTAAAGCTAAAATAAAATAATAGCTTTATTAATAATAATATATTTTATAGTAGTTATAAAAGTTTATTATTTCTTTTTAATATATTATAATATATATAACTTAATATTAAATCTTATAACTTTTATATAAATAGAATATTTATTTTTTCTTAAGTATAGCTTATTACTATATAGCTATAATATCCTTATATATATCTAGCTAGCTTAATATATTTACTTATTATAACTAAAATATCTTAAAATAATCTAAATAAAGTATATATTAAGAAATTATTATTTCTCTTTTAATAAGCTAGTTAAGCTAAAAGCTTTTAAAAAAAGTATTATTAAATAAAAAAATTCTTAAAATAACTTAACTTAAACTTTAAATAGCTATTTATTTATAATTAATAATAATAAGATAGTATAGCTATTTAAATTTTATATTACTTATTAAGCTATAATTATATAAATATAAAAGCTAGTTATTAAAATAATATTAAAATAAAAGCTTATAATTAACTTTTCTATAATTTATAATAACTTAATCTATTAGTAGTTAGGCTAGTACTTTCTTAATAAATTAAAAAATAATTTAATAGATACCTATAAGATAATAGTATACTATATATAGTCTTTTTTCTTTTATAGCTAAATTCTTATTAAAGTAAACTATTAATTATCCAGCTTATATTTAATATATCTAAAAGTAAATATAAAGCTTATTATAATAAGCTTTTTTATATTTTATATAATAGTAAAATTACCTAGCTAAAATATTAAAATAATAAGTATCTAATTTTAAAATATAAAATTAGCTATTAAAAATATCTTTATTTATAAGAAATAAGTTATTATTATTATTAGCTATAATAAAGCTTATATCTTAAATAACTATATTTTTTATATTATATATTATCTTTTAAATAATCTAGACTTTTTTATATTTTTTTATTTAGCTTATATCTAGCTATTTCTT